ACAGGCATGTTCCAAAACTGTACAGATATATGCAACAGAGAAATAACAGATTACATATGGCCAAAAATTCTCTTTGTGGCAAGTGCAAGAATACTCACACTTGTGGACCGAAGGTTACTGTTCTCACCATCACAATAATCAGGATGACAATGGTTAAAATCAGAGAAATGAGAGAGATCTGTAAAGGTAAAAACATGATTTCAGTCAGTAAGCTGCCAAAATGTTGTCCTTTGAGCAGCATAATGTATTTCTTAATTATTTAAAAAATAAAATTAAAAATGTACATTAAGTTATGGCTAGTACTTACTTTCTAATAGCATACAGAAAAAATAAATCAAAAATCCACTGCTGTTATAATTTACCTTTCCCAATTTTGCTATGTCTCGATATAAAGATATAGGTAAGGTAAAGATGATGGTGGTAAGAAGAATGATGAAGTGACGGTCAGTAAGCACATTATCCAGCCCAACTAGAGCAAAAAAAGATAAATTTATTTCTTTCAGAGACTGACACGAGGATCAGATTAGTTATATTTGAAAGGTTAGGAATAACGAACTGTTGATGATCAAGTTTTTATCCCCCTTACTCAATCTCAGTAACACTGAAAACTAGGCATTAACTAACTGTGAGGAAGCCATGAACACCATGTGCATAATTACAAGAACTCTGCAAATTCAAACCCAATTCATAACTTATCCGATATATTAAACCAAAATTGGAAAGTGTAGCATTCGTACATACAGATTAGTATTAATGTTTGTCATCATGCCTGGGTCAGTGTTGGGAGACTGCCAGTAACACATTCTACTACTTCTTTCTGCCATTTACTCTTGAGGATTTTTTTGACATTTGGGTTGATATCAGTTACTGTGCTGTTGAAGATAGGCACAATCCTAAAAGAAGTTAATTTTGTAGTTTCTTTTGAGCACTTCCTTTCCTCCTGTCAGCTGGCTTCTGCCTGCATAATACATTACCATGTGAAGGAAACAATAATGTTCCATGCAATCAGTAGGATTTATTTGTTTAACTGATGGGCTTTTTTCAAGACAAAGACAACTTAAAATAAAACATATCTCAGTTTCAGTCAGGCTATCATAAATTATGGGCCTGAATGAGCACTTGCTGAATAATTATGGCTGGAAAGTGGCTGAAAATTGACAAGGAAAATCTGTGTTCTGTTCCCTCTTTTCTCTGGGAGATTATAATGCTTTCCCACCTCTTTCCAGGCAGGCATTCTACCAGACAGGCAAAAAGTTTTGCATTGGTTCCTCCTATTACAGAAGTCATATTATATATAAATTACTAGATATGCCCTGTCACTATCAATTTGAACTGGTATTCACAGAACAACAGAGCTTGACAGTTAAAACTACATCCACACTTTGCAGGCTTCACCTGCTGAAAATTACAGTCCCCCTGTGTAAATCACAGTTCATATAAATACTAATTTCCACTTCATTGCAGACATGTTCATTTTAGTTCAGCCTCCCAGCAAAGAATGGCTTAACTAAGCTGGCTCTGTGCTAAAGTAGATGGCAGACATGTACACAAATTGCTCCACTGATTCTGCTGTGAAAACTTAGAGCACAGGAAGGGAAACAAGCGCACAAGTTAAAAAGTGCAAAATGCTACACCTGAAAGTTACACGTGCAGTTCATGGCCAACTATTACAGATATGCCTAAGTAAGCATTACATTCATTATAATATTTACAAGTCAGAAATATTCACTAGATGAAATGCAGTTTCAGTAATCAAATGATTACTGTAGGAAATGTCTAAAAAAAGATGACAAAAAATTATGACCTTATAAATATACAGCTGTGAAAAACTCACTCCTATTTGCGTAGTATTCCACTAAAGCATGTGGCCTCTTCACTGACACTGAGTCCACTGACAACCAAGGACTAGGATTCATAGTTTTTATTTGGGAAATACTTTTTTTAAAAAAACAAACAAAAAACAAACAAACAAAAAACAAACTAAACTCAAAACCCCACTCATACAAATATACTCTTACGCTCATACACTCCTATTCAATACATAATCCCCCATCCCGAATTTTTTTAGTGTATCTTACCTCCAGGAATTCTCTGAAAAACTTTAGTCAAAGTGTCTCCTGTTATTATGTTGTAACTGATCATAGCTTAAAGAAAATAATTTTTTTGTTAGTACAAGTCACATCTAAAATATGTGATAAACACAAAACATACATATTTTGTAGACTTCAGTACTATATGCCACTACACCTCTTACACAAATTTTGGTTAGCACCAACAACTGCTAAGTGTCAGGTTTAAAACAAAATTGAAAAAATAATTCTTTAACAGTCCCCTTTTGTTCTTAATTTTTTAACAGGCACAGCCCAAGTAATAATTCATCCTGATAAGTAAGGTCATTGATATGTAATGATACACAAAGGAATTCCTACCTCATGTAAAAATTTAGCAAAATCTTTAAACCAGAAGAAAGGAGGAGAGAATAGATTATGAGATCAGATACTGTCTTCCATTCCTCTCATTAATAAGCACTGTGGCCTTAGCATTCATGTTTCTTTCTCATCTAATTCTGCCTAGAAGGTTGTAAATTTGTGCAAATATGTTTATATACTCATGTTGTCTTCAATATACAGATGTCATACACATAGGTATTGACCGAATGCATAAACGTAAGTCATTAACACTACTGACAAATATAAATTCAAACACATACATATGCATAACTAGTTCAATGGCAAGGACTGAGACCTTTACAATTCCTTTTCATATTCTCTATGAAGTAGTTAGCTATTGTCCTTTGTAAATCAACATGAGCTACGTTGATGCCTGCAGTGACAGTGACTTGACTCCCTTGAAAATCTCAGCTAGCTGTAATCAGGCTGATTACTCGCAAAGTAGGAATTTTGATCTGGGACTCTGTGGTCACTGAGTCCAGACTCCTGGTATCTCAAGCTACCAGCTCTTGCAGCCACATGTGTAATATCAGGATTATTTAAGATTTGATTTAATGATGTTATACCTGTAAGAGACAGATTCAGAATATCACTCTATTTCAAGCTTTTGGTCTAATAAATTCCTGCCTGGATTATACCTGTTTGTTCTTTCACTGTTTCTTCAAAGAGGTCCTGACTGCCCAGTTTCCTGGTAGCTCACTGGGTATGAGACTGAACTAATGCTTTTGAAGAGCAATGACAGCACACAATATGCAAGTGAGATCTGATCTGTGGCTTTTCCAATTACAGTAATATTGCATCTCTGGAAAAATATTCACTCAGTATACTCCTAAAGTCACACTTTCCTTTTGTTTCAGGCACATCAACTTCGTGCTCTGTTATTCATTCTAGAACAGAATCTCCTTTGCTGTTTCTCATAACTACTTTTGTCATTAATTTTTAGGTGTATGAACATGAATTTCTCTGCTATGACATTTCAGTTCATTTCTATTATTCAGGTCCTCCATTTAATTGAATTTTTCCTCAGTCATTCTTCAGAACACACAAAGGAAATTTTAATTTTTTTTTAATAGCAGAGGCATATACAGTACATTCATATACAGAACAGTTTTTAATATTTAACCAGTGAAACAATGAGGTAAGGTGAAAAAGCTTGTTATTTATAAAAATTTAATATTTATATTTTATGGGATCTTACCAATAAATGGATATAAAAACTGAAGAGTTGAAAGAATTAGATAACCTACAAGACCATATGTTTTTCTGACCAGCTCTTGATACGTGCTGGTACTGGAGAGGTTTCCTCCTTTGATCAGTAATATAATGGAATAATCTGTTAAAATATAAAATTACTGTTGAAGACAATGTCAACCAACTTGTGGTTAGATCTTCTCACCTTCTTACACTCCTTAAAAAATAGTCTGTAAAAAGGAAAACAGAGGTACTGGGAAGAGCAGGGATGAGAAATCTCACAAAATATTTCAACTCAGCAAACCCAAGAGTTATAGGCTCATAATGGAAGGGAAATACTAAAAATCATAGTACAACCAAAGGTTTTCATTCTGTAGTATATTTTTAAAAGTGATATACAACCCACTCAAGGATCAGTCTCTTAATTAGGGTAAAAACAGTGGACTAAAACAGGTGATTATGAGGCACAAATAAGAACATTCTTACAAACGTTACCTTGACTAGTCTAAGAAACTAGGCTTTATGAAAATAAATGCACACAAAAAGCAGCTTTATATGTTGTACAGTGTAATACTCTACTTTTATTAATCTGCTCAAGGGATTAGTGAGGTAAGGAAAAAATTAGTCATTTTTATTGTCATAGATACACTTGTTTAAGGTATCATTAAGCTCAAGATCAGCTAAAATGTTGCAGGACTAGTTTTCCCTTTAGAACAGAAACTGCATTTAGAGTACCTGTGATATAGGCAACCACAAATAAAAGCAGTACTCCTAGTGGAAACCCAGCTTCCTTCATTGAATAGGGCAATCCTGAAAAGAAGAAAAGGAGAGATTATAGAAGAATCTTTCCAAATAACTGTGACAACCAAAATAAAGAAGTATTTAGATTTATTTTTTTTACAAAAATGTCATTAATCTCCCAAATTGGACCAGTATGCTTAACAACCTCAGAAAGGTCATTTTCAGTGGACAAAGTTGCCTAGGTGTAAAGTTCAGCCAGCACCTGCCCAGCCTCTCTGATCATCATGGCCAAAAGACTGTGGGGCATTTTTCCCTGGGATGTAATCTCAGCTGACACCTCTGCATTTTTGCACAGCAAGCAAACAGAGAAAAACCTTTAGAAACTGCAGCAGAAAGTAAGACGACAGTGTTGCTCTCCCAGCTGGGTAGTCATGCATATATAAACAAGGCTGAACACAGGATAGTGAAGAGAAGTAGACTTACCTATAATGCCTGATCCTATGATTGAATTGATAATGTTAAATCCAGCTGATGCCAGATCACCGTTTCCTCCTTTATTCTTTGGCTTACTAAGGAGGGCTGTTTGGTCATCTGTTTCTACCTATTTCAGGAAGACAATGAAAACATTATGCATGAGAAAAATAGGTGAGAACAAGGATTCTACACACAGTCAATTCAAGTTTTAAAAAATAATTGTCATAGACACAGATTTGTAGAGACATTTTGATAAATAAACCCAATTCTTTTTCAGTGAGAAATCAAAGGGTTGTTAGGTATCTAATTCCTGTATAAATCTGACCCATAATCTTCTGCAATTCTTCTCTGAAAAGTAATAAGTGGAAGGACAGAAATGTATATAAACTCAGGCTGCTAAACAAAGAGCTCTTTAGTCATGTTTCAAAGGCAGAAATGTGAATCAAGTATTTTTTGAAGATATTTTAGCTAAAACAACTGGTCAGTAAAAATAGCTCCTGAATCAGGGAAATTCAATTCATTTTTACTAGTGAAGCATGCCAACATCTGAAGATACTCCAATTCACAGTTTTATCCAGTATTTTAAATATTTGTGTGCCACTTAACGGTTTAGTTAATTATGAATAGTTAATGACACTATAAAATCAGCTAGTCCCAGAAAGTTTCTGCAGGAAGGTCTGGTACAAACCAAAGTTCAAAGCACAATTTGTAGCCAGTAGCTTCAAAAATTAAAGTTCATATCTTCATAAAGCATTTCTTCATAAGCATGCAGTGGTCCCCTCCTCAGATCACCACTCTGCTGTCAGAGAACATTTCAGAATTATTCATTAGGATGCCAGTATGTTAACTAAACTTGTAAAATTCAAAAGAGGAACATGCATTGAATGAAGAAAATGACTGCCTGTGTTCTACAACAAAAGCAAAACACGGTGTACTTTGAAAGTAAACCCACTATTTCTTGGATGCAGGAGCCTATTTAACATATATAGCAGGTGGTACAGACTCAGATGTTTGTCATTAATACTCCTAGGAAAAAAAAAAGAATTAAATTACTGAAAAATCTAAGTCTTCTGTAGGCTTATGCTGACAAGCATAAGAGTGCCTGCCTCAAGGAGGGTTAAATATTTAAGTGGAACCTTTAATTCTTAAGCAGTACTAAGAGGAGTAATACTGGCTCAGACCAAAGGCCAGTATAGCCTGGTATCCCATTTCTGAGAGTGACCAAGGAAGGTGACCTAGAGAAGTACAAAGAACATGGGAAATAGCTAGTTAGCAAATAACTTTCCTGTCCCAGCTTTCATCAGTTTATGTATTCTGGACTTCCCAAAGCAGATGTGTTCTTGGTGCAACCCATCCCTTCATGAATTCCTCCTTGAATTTTCCCTTTTTTCGAAGCCATGTATAATTTTTAGCATCTGCAATATCATGTGGCAATGAATGCCACATTTTAACTATGCATGATATGAAGAAACAGGTATTTTTCTTTGTTCTGAACCTACTATCAAGTATTTCCACTTGGTGTCCCAGAAATTTTTGCATGATCACAGACAAAACAACTATTATTTCCTACTTCATCATATTACGTGCAGTTTCATAAGTAACATTCTCCCTTAGCTACTGATTTCAGCAGCAGAAGCATCACCATCATTCTTTCCTGAAATTTTAATGCTACTACTTACAGCACAGTACACGTGAAATTGCACTGAACTAGAACAGTCCAGATCCCTCTCCTCAGTTGTTACAAGAATCATAGAATCAACCTAGTTGGAAGAGACCTCAAAGATCATTGAGTCTAACCCTACCATCGTTACTAGACCATGGCACTAAGTGCCACATCCAGTCTCATCTTGAAAACCTCCAGGGATGGCAAATCCACCACCTCCCCTGTCAGCTCTTTCCAATCCGTAAAAAATCTCTTCCTAATATCCAGCCTAAACCTCCCCTGGCAGAGCTTGAGTCTGTGCCATCTTGTCCTATTGCTGGCTGCCTGGGAGAAGAGACCAACCCCCACCTGACTCCAACCTCCTGTCAGGTAGTTGTAGAGGGCGATAAGGTCTCCCCTGAGCCTCCTCTTCTCCAGGCTAAACAAACTCCATCAGCCTCTGTTCATAGCACTTGTGCTCGAGTCCCCTCACCAGCCTCCTTAAGAAATTAACACAATGTGCATTGTATAGCCCTGGTCCCTTCCCCACTTGGGAGGGACACATTTAAAGGGGCAAAAAGGGCAAGAAAGGACAACAGAAGTTGTGACACGTGAAATAGCTCCTGTATGAAGACAGTGCCCTCGAAGGTGCACCTGGCCCGCGGGTGGGGAGGGATGCCTGCTAGCAAGCTGTGTTACACGAGTGGCTTTCGCCTCTCGCAGGGTCCTGGGCCGGGGTCGGCTGCGAGTCGCGGCACAGCC